TTAGCGTGAAAACTCAGGCAGCAAAAATTAGAGGAGTTCTGCAGCAGCGCACAGAGAAACTGGTGTGAGAAGGTCTGAGTTGGAGTTTTGTGTCCTTGCACATGAGAGCTCTGGTGCTTCCCTAATAGACTGAAAATGAGACCACTGCTGCTTTATAAGAGGTCTGTTCCAGCCACATTGCTCTACAGCTTGGCAGATGGTGGCATGTGAATGGTTTCATATTGATTGGATGGATTTGCCTCGGGGTAAGAGGGGTGTGGGTCCTTAAAGATGCACTTCTAGATTTGTTTTTTCTTTTTTTATTTAAAGAAAAAAAAAAGTGTATTTATAAACACTTCTCTTTAAGTGAGAGGAGTGTGTGGTAATGAAAACACTGAGGTTACCTGGAAATAAGAAGTCCTTAAAAAGATGATCACAAAGACTAAAAAGCTAAGAATACTTATTTACTGAATGATTACGTTTTTACATTAGAAGAAAGTGACACTTTTAATTAGTGTTCAAGGCATATGGTGAATGAGAAAATAAGCTTATTTCATGCAAACAGAAATCGATGCAAATAACCTTTCTCCTCATACAAAAAGGGATGACTTGAAACTCAATACATATTCAGGAAGGTTAAGTCATTACTGCATCACTTTACTATTAGTTTAAGGCCAACAAAGGAAATCACTACTCTGCATATACTTAGCAAGGATTGTTGTAAATGAAAAAAGTAGGTGATAGTACTTTATAGATGATAGATTTGAAGAAGCCTCTGTCCATATAATGCCGTTTAATCTCAGTAAATAACCTTTTGGGTTCTGCCTTAGCACAGGTAGTTGCAGGAGATGCCTCAGTTCTCCAGCAGTTCATCCCAGCTGGGAAAAGGTATTTTGTGGTGCTCTTTGTGTGTGGTTCTTTATGACACCTCTCTTTTGGGCTTCAGTCTTGTAAATGTTGTTTGTAAATCCTTCGGTATGAAATGACTTTACAAATGTGTTTGTACAGCACCTAACACAAAGATCCCAATCTCATTCAGGCCTCTGGGTGTTGCTGTACAGTGGTGAGTGAATGTGTGTGTGTATATATACATATATATTTAGTAGTAATGGAAGTATTCCTTGAGGTATTTGACCTTAAATAGAGGAGAAAAGAATACTTAAATAGCCTGTAGACACGTAGGGATGGGGACAGTCTGATAACTTGGGAGACTTGGGTGCTATGGAAAAGTGGATCCTTTCTGTGTATTTCAGTCCTGCGCTCTCATGTGTGCAGCAGTGGTTTCATAAATGAATTAAAGCCAAAATACGTCATAGCCGTATGTTATCAAGGGGTCTTCATATCTGCTTGAAGGTGTAAATTCGTATATTCTACAAGGCTCTACCCACATGTGAATTATTTACATGCTGGATTTGGTGTTCCCATGAAAGAACGCTGTTGTGCTGAACTTAAAGCTGATGTTGTATCTTGTGCAGTACGCACCATTTCTATGGGCGTGCTTTCCCTTTTAATTACACTTTGTTCTCAGAACTGATTGGATTTTATCGTCTAGTTCATATTTGCTGAAGGAAACGCTCCTGTGTAAATTTTAAGGTCCCTTTAAATAGAAAAAGAATGGTAAAAGTTAACTGATTTTAGGGATTTAGCATGTGGGCTCACTTCTGGGCATGAAAAGGCATAAACCAGTGCAGAAATCCGTATCTTTTATTCCCCCCCCCTGCTTGGTAAGTGTAGGGGGGGATTTATACTGTATATCACAACCAGCAGCTATTCCAAGAAAAATCTTTTAAGATGGTTACTTGAATCTGTGTACACTGCCCACCTGGTGGTTATGGAGTGAACTGTTACTTTAAAGAATAGTTTAAACAACAGCCATGTTTGGGGCAGGCTAATCTTGCAAAGAGAGCAGTACATATAACAGGAGTCTACAGTGTGATAAGGGGAAAATTCAGCTCACTGACTAGATGTTTTAATGTGCGAACTCTAGGGAAATAACATATTGACTATTCTGTTGTGCGCAAGAAAATTGAAGAACCCTTTGCAGACAGAGGGCTTGCAAAGGATTCTTCCTGTTTCTCTTAACCAAAATCTGTGGCAAGATGTTTGAAATCAGCAGGACGCTTAATGCTGCTTTGTTAAATAATGAGGTAATATTTTGTCACTTTTTTCTGGGCAGCATCTGTTTTTATTTTTCTCCTTTTTCATATGTTTGTTTGAAGGATTCAGTTTAATCTTATGAAAGTAAGAGATTTGGGGGAAAAAATCATTCTTCAATTTATTATTTTTTTTTTTCCTTTTGATGCTTTTGGAGAATTGGGTTGTCTTTTATTTGCGGTTTCAATCGGCTGCTGTTGCCTAGGACATTATGCCACGTAAGGCTTCTAAACTGCACAGAGTAGGTAGTTATTAACGCTGAATTGGCTTCTGGTATAGTCCATCTGGGCTCTGTATGAGAGAGCTTGCTAGCGGCTACTGATGCTAAGATACCCGCAACCTTTGGGATGTATGCGTGGTGGAGAGGGGCTCAGTGATATGAGATCACTTCTTTTAAGGGAAACTGTCATTAATGAGTCAAGAAACTGCTCATTTATGGTAAGGAGAGGGGGGTGGGGGGGGCTGGGAAACAACCCTGTGATTTCATTTTGATATTGGATTAGCTGTTTAAGACAAGTTTCTTTTTGTGGGGATGGAAGATTGCATTAAAAATATGCTTTGCTCAGGGGCTTTGCTGGCTGATGCTGGAGAGGCTGTATAGGGAATGTGATGCTTTACAAATGTCACGACCATGATGTGGTGGTCAGTGCCTTACCCTGTAAGATAAATGGTACTATTGGAAACACGAGAATAAGGTTGACTTTTTCAACAATAGGATTCTGCCTTTGTCTTTACGGAGGGAGGCCTCTGAGGATGTTTGAGCATTTGTTTCAGTGTTCCCCAGAAAGACTGCGTGTGTGGGGTGCTTTTGGGGAAAGTGGTCAGTGTTCAGAGTACCTGGGTTTCTAGGCGGATAAGATAGCTGATGTTTTAAGAGGAGCAGCGTGCAATTATTGTTTCAGAAAAATGGCTGAATCTTTTGATGTGCATAACGAATTTAGAGTAACAAAGTCGGCTGAAGTTGAAAAGACTTACAGATAATTTCTGGATGCCTTTTTTTCGGTGTTGTTAACCCCTGAAGAGACCTGGAGTAAAAATTTGCATTACAAATCTAACTTTAATATTCGGTGTATATTTGCACAAGAATGTATGGTAATAACACTAGCTCTGTAGCATTTTGATGCCTGTGTGTTCAGTCTAACAGGACACTTAAATTTGAGTTAGGAAACCTTATCTTACGAGCTAGTTTAATCCTTACTATTTTTTTTACCAAGCTACAAATATGCTCCAAAAGATGCGTGGAGAAATCCTCTCTGCAGCCTTTTACATTGTTCATATTTTAATTGAATTCAGTGCTCGTTCCAAAGATAGATTGTCTGATGTCTTTTAAATGCCATTTTTCTCCTTGCTTGGTCTGTTTGTAGCTGGGGTTTTATAAGCTTTCTATATTTCATATGTTTTATTGGGTGTGTTTGGTCTTTCTGTGTGTTTGAGTGTGTCTACGGTTTTAAAGACATTTAAAATGTGCAGAATGTCAGTTCAGAGCTGAGCAGTTTGAGGGCATATTTATGCTTTAAAAAATACATAAAACTTCTAGAACAAACATTATCTGATCACGTATTTTTGCTAATGGTTTTGGTGGTTTGTAGCCAGGTTTTCTTTCTCCAGGAAAGAACTAAGTGAGCTTATAACATGGCCCATCCCAGCTTTCTCCGTTTACAGCTCCTCTGTTTAAAAACGCTTGCAGTGATACTGAGTTTTAAAAAATGATATTTGGCTGATGAAATGAATGCGTGGATGGTAAAATTGAATGATTCTGACATACATTAACTGAGAATACTCGCTCGCTTTAGATGAGGTGAACGTGAATTCAGGGGTAGTTGCAATTACAGGGTGCCATGCCTTGTTACTTTGGCCAAAACACGCTTCAGGAAAATAACTCCCAAGTAGGAGAAGGGCATGAATGCTTCCTAACTTGTGAGAATTGGTAATAAACTTGCTGTGGTCGGGAGAGGGTAAAATATTGCTGTTTGGAAGCGAAGTTTTGTTAGTTTGTCAGTGGCAGTGAGCGGAGGATTAATGAGTGTGCATTGTTAAATTAAGCACGTTCCTCTCTAAGGCTGATGATGGGGGGGGGGAGAAATGCTTTAAACACCCAAAGTTTGCCGATGTTTTATTTATTGTAGAGCTGAAGAAAGATGAAGCGAGGTGGTGAAATGATGCTGAAATACTACTGTTGTTCAGAGGGAGCTCTGATAAATAGGTGCCTGCTGTGCCTTAGACGGCATCAAGTGGCAGCGCTATCAAATCCACTTGTAAAAATATGTATTTTTAAAACCTCACCGGGCAGAAGGAAGGGGAGAGATGGTTTATTATTAAAATCAGTAGTACCTGAAAATAAATGCAGCTTTAAACGCACGTCGGGAGTGCTTTTGTTGTGCCTTTAAGCCTAGAGGCAGATCATTAAATATGCATTTCTCCGGAAAGCAACTGTCGAAAAAGATAAGGTGGTTAAAATACGCCGGACCTGGGAGACGGGCGGGCAGGAGGTAAGAAGATGTAGGCACTGAAGCATGGCCGAGGTACGACACTGCCACGGCCGAGGGCTCCGGCGGGGTGGGGAAAAAATAAATAAATAAGTACAAAATAATAATAATAATAATAATAAAAATAATAAAAAATATAAGGAAAAATGGAGGGATGCGTGGTGTTTCTTCAACCGGGCCTTAATTACTAGACACAAGCAGCAGTTCAGAAATCTGGTCTCTGTTGTTGCAGAGGTCACCCCATCATTAACACTGTCAATCTGGCCGCGGCTAATTTCAATAGCACCTGATGTCGCAACGCCCTCCCCGCGCGGCGGCGGCCAATCAGCGCCCGCCCGCCGCTGACAGATGGTCCCATAAATGGCTGTAACGGGGGGACGCCGGCAGCCAGTTCCAGCAGGGCCCGCGCCGCTCCGCCCGCTGCCGCCGCCGGGGGCCGCCGCTCGGGGACCGCGGTACCTGCGGGGAGGAACAGCCAACAAAAGACCACAAAACAGCAGATTTGTGCTTATTATTATTATTTATTATTATTATTTATTACTATTACTATTATTCTCGCTGCACAAACGTCTAGCACTGTGCTTTGTGGATTTTTTTTAAAGAAAAAAAATATAATAATAAACAAATAATTCCCCGAAAACCTTAGCAAATCTGTAGAAGAGTTGAAGCCTTTCAAGACCCAATATTTGCCATTAAGAATGGTTATGGTAGGTATTAGTAGATTTAAAGATGGGATTGTAGCGGGTTTATATAGAGGTAGATCTAGAAGCTAACATGTCCAGATTTTCCCCAAATCTGCATCATTCTCCGTCTGTGTTTTCACATGCATTTAGTTTTTCTGCTACTGATGTGTTTGTACATGATCTCTCCCTTTCTCCCCCCCTTTCTCCCTTTCTCTCTCCCTCTCCCTCGCTCCCTCTCTTTCATATTTAATGTGTGCGTATCCTTTAATAAAGGATGTACTTTGTCGTTTTAAGGTAATCGCGATTTCTCTCAGAATAAAGAGAAAAGAGCTCATTTCTAATGCAAGGCTGGTATGTGGCTAACCGAAATGCAAAAAGGAAGAAGAGGCTTTTTTTTAAGCAGTGGGGGGGGGGGGGGGGGGTTGGAAGGAGGGAGTTAATTTCCACATTGACATTTTGGAGATACAAATGCCGAGCAAAATCCAGTGGGGGGGGGGGGGGAATGGGGGGATGGTGGATGGAAGAGGGGGGGTGGGAAAAAAAAAGGCTCGAGATTGGTAATTTTCTTTTGGTGGACTGCGCAATAGGTATGGTAATTTTAAAAGAGGGTGATTTATATGAGCTTCAGTAAATGCTGCATATTGTATTTCAAAGAGTTTCCTGTCGTGACCTCATAAAAAGAGGAGGAGGCTTGTATGTGTTGCAGTGCCTAGTATATGTCGATTTTGTTGCATCGTTGGGCAGCAGCGCTGTAAGAAGGAATGTCAGCTTTTACATAACGCTCTTTTTGCTTTCGACTCTGTGAGGGGCTGTAAGGGTCCATCTTTGTGATCACAGATGGAGTGGAATGGCTTGAAAATGGTAAGTGAACGGGGAGAGCCTGCTCGTGGGGGTTTTGTCTCGCTTCTCGTGTGCCTCGCGGATTTCTTTTGTTCGGGGCGGTGGATCGTGAGTCATAAAATAAAATTAGAGAGCCTTGTTTGGGGGGTATTATTTTTTCTTATAGGGGGATATGCCTGCTTGTGTGTGTGTCTATATATCTATATATCTATTTAACGTATCTAACGACGATGGCACTCCGCCGCGTTCCCATTGAACGCTGCATTTCAGTGGAGCGAGGATGGTCTCTGCTGACAGTCGCGGTGTCATTGTACCGCATGTGCCTGGCGGATCAGGCAGCCGGTGATGCCTTTTAATCTCCGTTTGTATTACACCAGCCTTAAATACAAACCTAATAATCGCCTCTCACATCCAGGTATTGCGTCTCCCATGGAGCCGGTGCTGTAGAGGATGGATGGGTGGATGGATGGATGGATGGATAGATGGATGGATGGATGGAAGGGTGTGTGGGGTGGGTTTTTTTGTGTCGGGGTGTGGGGGCTGGGGGGTGGGAGCCGTGTTGTTCTGTGCTGTTTTAAATGCCGGTAGAAGTCAAAGCCATTTATGTGAAAAATAGTATTTCTATTTTTAGCCTATATTCTCCTGGTGGAGGAGCCCGGACGCGCTCGCCTCGTCCCTTCTTTTGTGCTTTCCTTACAGATTGTGCAAAATGGCATGATCAGAACCAAGTGCCGGGGACTCGGGGATGGGGGACCCGGAGTGGAGGGGGGCTGGGGCCCGTCCCTCCTGCCAGCACTGTGGGGTGATGCTTGAGGGGCATGGGGTGTCCCCCCCGTTTTCCCCTTTAATTTTAACGTTTTTCAGACTTTTGCCGTGGATATTTATTATAAAGGGGAAGGGAGTGGGGGGGCCGGGGGGGGGGAAACAAAGCGACGGTCTTTTCCCATTCTTACAGGATTGTCTTTGTCTAGCTGCTTGTTTTGATGGGTGTAAAACAAATAAGATTAGACTGAGCAGCCGAACTGAAAGCGATAGCTGGGAGGAAAAGCCAATGAAAGGTTGCCGGGGAAACGAGCATAGGGGAAGCTGAGTGGGGGAGCAGGTGGCAATCATGTGGGAATACTGCAAACAGTGTAAAAAAAAAAAAAAAAAAAGAAAAAAAATCCAAAAAAGAAAAGCAGGGGCTACCTCGATTATCTGTGCTGTTCTTTGTGGCAGTCACAACTTTAATTATTCTTTATAAATAGGTGTTAATTACATTTCTGGCTCAGGCTTGCAGTGATTTCTAGAAATCTGGTTTTAAGCATCTGTTCTTTCTCCTCTGCAAAAGGGGGTTATCTCCTTTTTTTTTCCCCTTTTCCCCCCTCCCTGCTGTGAAGTTGTATGTGCAAAAAAAAAAAAAAAAAGATAGGAAGGAATCCTTGGAGGCAGTATATATAAAAAAAATAAAATAAATGTAAATTATATTGAATGAAGTTGACAGAGGTATAATAGTGAACTCCCACAGCTGATAGCTTCTGCAAATCATTTCTTAGAATTTTCCAGCAAATGTCCCTATGAGAACAGTAGGTAGAATGAATTTACCCTAAGCAGTGATTTTGTGTTAAGTGATATTGGTATTTTTGCAAAATCAGATGGTTATATGGCAGAATAATCGGTTCAGGGGAGTTCACCATATCCGAAGGTTTAGGTGCTGAGCGGAATTTACAGAAATAATGAGATTATTCCTCTCTCCATCTCCAGCCCCACCTTTAGCCACAGTCTGTTATATAGATCTGCTGGAGAAATACCCACTTCCAATGTCAGGCTCCTCGTGGCAACTTTACTTTTTAAACTGTGGCTGAATGTTTTGCTAATTGTGATGTATTGTAGTGGCAAACAATAATGGCAAATAGCTGTTGGTGCTAGAAGTGTTAAAAAAGCGTAGTAGACTAGTGAGTGATAGACAGTAGCGTAAAAGATATAAAAAATGTGGTTGCCCAGAAAATGCTCATCTATCACACATCAGGAGGCACAAGAGAAGCAAAGCGAGAATATAGAACACGCCTTTCTCTCTGTCTTCAGATTTTCAAACATTTTTTACTTCCTTCCTTCCTCTGGTGCAGGGTTACGCTGAATGCTAATTCCGGCAGGAATGGCAGTGCTTGGTTGAAAGAGGAATTAAAAGGAATTAAATCCCCCCCCCCCCCCTTTTAATTTGCTTTGTTTTAAGTGTTGCTTCTGCTGCAGTCCTTTCTGTTGAAGAAGTAATTGAATGGCCCTCTGCAAACTGCACTGCTTTACAATGTGGAGGGGGGAAGTAATCTTGAGGGTGTGTGTGCGGGTGTAAAATTGTGCGGTTTACAGGCTGTGCATGTGCAGAGATGCATTCTGACATGCATTGTAGTTGTACGTGAGAGTAAAATAATTTTTCTTCTGTCCAAAACAGAGGTGCTGTGTTCTAAACCCGTTAACTAAGTCATGACAATAAATAAGGGTGCCTTTTATTATACACAGCTGCATTGTTTGCTTTAAGAGTCATCAGCTAGTAGTTACATTTTCATTTTCTGTGCAATTTGGTGTTTCTGCAAAGATTTAAAAAGAATGTCATCCTTGTTTTATGGTGCACGTGTTCCTGCCCCGATCTTCCTCTTTTCTTTGTTTTAAGATTATATTAATGAATACAGCCTGCATGTACATAGGGACATTTTCTTTTGGCATGTAAAAGATGGCATTGTAAATCCTCGTATAGAAACCCAGCTATTAAGTTAGTGAAATTGAATTAAGATTGCGACGAATACTAACAGCTTAAAACGTGAAACCTCTTTCTTTACAAAAAGGTAGAGAAAACATAGTTATCTGTAGACATGACATTTCTTCTTTCCTTTTAAATTGTCTTGGTGAACTACTAGTCAGAAAGGATGCAATTTTACAGTTGGATATTGATGCAATGTGAATACCAGCCATCAGTTTAAAATCTCCCCATGTACTCCAGTGATCAAGTTCCCATGCTAGATACAGGGATGTCTCTCCACTGTTGATGGCTTGGTTGCCTCCTTTGCTTTCTTCCTCTTTATTAATTTTACCTTTTTGAGCTCTCTCAAAGTGAGCGGGAGCTGTTGTGACAAAGGATGGTTACAACGAGCTGGAAGGGCTATACTTAAAAATCCAGTTTGAATGGGTTTGGAATAGTCTTCATCATCTTTATTTGGTCCTGTTAAATATTGTGACTATTGAAAGAAAATCCGGTTGCGTTAATCTTACATATATTTAATGTATTAATTTTTTTTGAAATAGCATCTTCCAGGTTACAGTGAATTTTTTTTCCTCAGCCTTCCTACTTGGTATGCTGGGAGTGTGCTAATTAAACACAGGTTATTTTCTGTATGTAATAGTCATGCTGTTGGTACATAACCTAGAGCCACTTCACACACCGAGGTCTTTCCAAAGAGATAAAGAGCGATTGGGTCCCGTATTGTGGCAGGGGAATTTATTGTTTTTTTGGGAACTTGCACTTCCAAAACAATTTCAGCAAACACCCCAGGCAAGAAATGAGCAGTGGCAGAGAGTATGATAGCGAGAGGGAGAGAGATGCAGGTAACTTGACAAATCCACTTGTCTGTTTTGGCAATCTGTGTCCACTAGACAACTCATTTACATGCCTGGACACATTAAAATGTGCATTTGATGGTCTGTGGGACAGCTAACTGGATACACTCCGGTGCACTGGCGAATACTGCAATGCAGTATTTTTTCAATGTCATTGGGGTTTTGGGGGAGAAGTGGGCGCAAAACAGTCTTCTTGCAAGTGAGGTGATGTTAAAAAGACATGGTACCCTGAAAAGGATAGGCCAGATGTAGCAAAATGTGCTAATCTGTGATGGAAAGTCACCCCTCCTCCATTGCACTCCTCTTCTTCTCTTACTCTTTCTCTTCTCCTTTCCATAGTAGGATGGATGAAGAGATGCATATGCATGTATTTGTGTGTGTGTTCATGCGTGTGTATCTTCCCTTCTTGTCTGAATGGACTTTAAGGAAAATGCTGGGATTTGTACGAGGAGGGAAAGGGTGTTTGTGGAATGTAGTGCTGTCCAATTGTTTGTGTAAATCTCCAGTTACCAGCAGTGTGGGACTCCCAAGTAACTTTAAGAGCAAGGCACATTTTGCATTTTCTAAAGAATTTTGTGAAGAGGAGTATAACATTT